GCTCGAACCTGTGGTACTCGACTCAGTCGTGCTGGTCAACGTGGTACTGCTTGACTCTGTGGTGCTCGAACCTGTGGTACTCGACTCAGTCGTGCTGGTCAACGTGGTACTGCTTGACTCTGTGGTGCTCGAACCTGTGGTACTCGACTCAGTCGTGCTGGTCAACGTGGTACTGCTTGACTCTGTGGTGCTCGAACCTGTGGTACTCGACTCAGTCGTGCTGGTCACGTGGTAGTGCTTGACTCTGTGGTGCTCGAACCTACTCGACTCAGTCGTGCTGGTCAACGTGGTACTGCTTGACTCTGTGGTGCTCGAACCTGTGGTACTCGACTCAGTCGTGCTGGTCAAGTGGTACTGCTTGACTCTGTGGTGCTCGAACCTGTGGTAATCGACTCAGTCGTGCTGGTCAACGTGGTACTGCTTGACTCGGTGGTGCTCGAACCTGTGGTACTCGACTAGTCGTGCTGGTCAACGTGGTACTGCTTGACTCTGTGGTGCTCGAACCTGTGGTACTCGACTCAGTCGTCTGGTCAACGTGGTACTGCTTGACTCTGTGGTGCTCGAACCTGTGGACCTGTGGCCTGACTCGACCCTCGACTCAGTCGTGCTGGTCAAGTGGTACTGCTTGACTCTGTGGTGCTCGAACCTGTGGTACTCGACTCAGTCGTGCTGGTCAAAGTGGTACTGCTTGACTCTGTGCGTGCTCGAACTTGTGGTTACTCGACTCAGTCGTGCTGGTCAACGTGGTACTGCTTGACTCTGTGGTGCTCGAACCTGTGGTACTCGACTCAGTCGTGCTGGTCAACGTGGTACTGCTTGACTCTGTGGTGCTCGAACCTGTGGTACTCGACTCAGTCGTGCTGGTCAAAGTGGTACTGCTCGACTCTGTCGTGCTCGAACCTGCGGCACTCGACTCAGTCGTGCTGGTCAACGTGGTACTGCTCGACTCTGTGGTGCTCGACCCAGTGGTGCTCGACTCTGTCGTGGTGGTCAGCGTGGTACTGCTTGACGCTGTGATGCTCGAACCTGTGGTACTCGACTCAGTCGTGCTGGTCAACGTGTTACTGCTTGACTCTGTGGTGCTCGAACCTGTGGTACTCGACTCAGTCGTGCTGGTCAAAGTGGCACTGCTTGACTCTGTGGTGCTCGAACCTGTGGTACTCGACTCAGTCGTGCTGGTCAACGTGGTACTGCTTGACACTGTAGTGCTCGAACCTGTGGTACTCGACTCAGTCGTGCTGGTCAACGTGGTACTGCTTGACTCTGTGGTGTTCGAACCGGTGGTACTCGACTCAGTCGTGCTGGTCAACGTGGTAGTACTTGACTCGGTGGTGCTCGAACCTGTGGTACTCGACTCAGTCGTGCTGGTCAACGTGGTACTGCTTGACTCTGTAGTGCTCGAACCTGTGGTACTCGACTCAGTCGTGCTGGTCAACGTGGTACTGCTTGACTCTGTGGTGCTCGAACCTGTGGTACTCGACTCAGTCGTGCTGGTCAGCGTGGTACTGCTTGACTCGGTGCTGCTCGAACCTGTGGTACTCGACTCAGTCGTGCTTGTCAACGTGGTACTGCTTGACTCGGTGGTGCTCGAATCTGTGGTACTCGCTTCAGTCGTGCTGGTCAACGTGGTACTGCTTGACTCGGTGGTGCTCGAACCTATGGTACTCGACTCAGTCGTGCTGGTCAAAGTGGTACTGCTTGACTCTGTAGTGCTCGAACCTGTGGTACTCGACTCAGTCGTGCTGGTCAACGTGGTACTGCTTGACTCTGTGGTGCTCGAACCTGTGGTACTCGACTCAGTCGTGCTGGTCAGCGTGGTACTGCTTGACTCGGTGCTGCTCGAACCTGTGGTACTCGACTCAGTCGTGCTGGTCAGCGTGGTACTGCTTGACTCGGTGCTGCTCGAACCTGTGGTACTCGACTCAGTCGTGCTGGTCAACGTGGTACTGCTTGACTCTGTGGTGCTCGAACCTGTGGTACTCGACTCAGTCGTGCTGGTCAACGTGGTACTGCTTGACTCTGCGGTGCTCGAACCTGTGGTACTCGACTCAGTCGTGCTGGTCAAAGTTGTACTGCTTGACTCTGCGGTGCTCGAACCTCCCCCTGCGCCGCCGACGGGCGCGGCGCCCCGGCCCTCCGGGTGCTCCGACCGGCCCGGCACGGCCGACGAGCCAGCGGCGGCGCGGCCCCGCGCCTCGCCCCGCCGCGCCGCCTCGGGCGCGGCGGCGGCACTGTGCGGCTGCCACGCGGCCCCGAGCAGGTCCGCAGCAGGGGAAGCCGCCTCACCTGCCTCCGCACCGACAGTGGGCGACCCCTCGGCTGGCATAGCGGCGGGGAGTGCCGCCGCCGCCACCTCCACGTCCCACGCCTTGTAAGTCCTCCTCGTCGTGGTGGCCGTCCTGCTTGGCGTGGTGTGGCTGGGGCCTGCCGGCCCGTGGTGCGCAGTCTTCTGGAAGCGCCCGACAGCATGGTCAGCGTCAAGGTGGCAGATGCCCTGCCAGATCACGTATGCCGCGGCCACGTCCGCATGCAGAAGCAGGCCGCTGCCAGCGCCGAAGACGCAGCCGCTGCGGTCCGGGCCCAGGGCGCCCAGGGCAACGGCCTCCCTGCGCCTGCCCGCAGGCAGGGCGCCGCGGCCAGCTGACAGGAGGCAGTCGACCCGCGACGGGACAACATCGAAGACGTGGCCCTGGCAGGAGGACGGGTAGGCGATCAGCGTGTCGTTGCTCAGCGCGAGGCTGGTGTCCGTCGCCGTGCACTCGAAGCACCCAGGGCACTCCGCAGGACTCTGGCAGGCCGCGACGGTGCCCCTCGGGCAGCGCTGGTGGTCGCAAGGGTCCAGATCAGCAGGAGAAGCGCCGAACTGGCGCCAGCACGCATAGACGACAAGAGAGAGGCATGCTAGCACCCTGGCGGCGGCGCTCATGAAGCGCACCCCTGGCCAGGGCGTCCGCGGCCGTCTTGCGGGCGCGGTTCAAGCCATGGTGGGCTGCGCTTGAGCCAAAATGGCTACGGAACAGCAGTTTAGGTAGAAATGAACATTCGCGAAGTAAAAGCCGCCTCAACCGCCAGGTCGCAATGATTGGCGGGTAGTGGCAAAGAGATTTATTCCCAACCCTCCTATGGTTGGGTACTCGTTTTGAATAGAGCAGTGTGGTCGCCCCGTCCTCCTCCTCCTCCCTCCTCCTCCCCATCCTCCTCTCCTGTTTCCTGTGTTCCCCTCTCCTCTTCTCTCGTGCCGTCGGGCAGCGATCTGCGCAACTGTCGCCACTTTCGTGGGTTCCTGGGAGGCCCAGCGGAGGTACGTCCCACGCGGACCACCTCGAGACCTCGCGGTGCCCTGGGGGCTGCGATCTGCGCAACTGTCCCCACGTTCGTGGGCTCCTGGGAGGCCCAGCGGAGGTACGTCCCACGCGGACCACCTCGAGACCTCGCGACGCCCTGGGGGGCTGCGATGTTTGCAATTGTCGCCACTTTCGAAGGCTCCTGGGAAGCACAGCGGAGGTACGTCCCACGCGGACCACCTCGAGACCTCGCGGCGCCCTTGGGGGGGGGGGGGGGGGGGCGATCTGCGCAACTGTCGCCACTTTCGTGGGCTCAGCGGAGGCACGTCCCACGCGGACCACCTCGAGACCTCGCGGTGCCCTGGAAGGCTGCGATCTGCGCAACTGTCGCCACTTTCGTGGGCTCCTGGGAGGCCCAGCGGAGGTACGTCCCACGCGGACCACCTCGAGACCTCGCGGCGCCCTGGGGGGCTGCGATCTGCGCAACTGTCGCCACTTTCGTGGGCTCCTGGGAGGCCCAGCGGAGGCACGTCCCACGCGGACCACCTCGAGACCTCGCGGCGCCCTGGGGGGCTGCGATCTGCGCAACTGTCGCCACTTTCGTGGGCTCCTGGGAGGCCCAGCGGAGGCACGTCCCACGCGGACCACCTCGAGACCTCGCGGCGCCCTGGGGGGCTGCGATCTGAGCAACCGTCGCCACTGTCGTGGGCTCCTGGGAGACCCAGCGGAGGTTCGTCCCACGCGGACCATCTCGAGAACTCGCGGCGCCCCGAGGGGGCTGCGATCTGCGCAACTGTTGCCACTTTCGTGGGCTCCTGGGAGGCCCAGCAAAGGTACGTCGTACGCGTTGCCGCTGCTCTTCTTGCTGCGCTCTTCTGATTTCACTGCTGTGTGCTCTTCTTCCGCACTGCGGATTTTTCAGCATGCCCGTCAGCATTGAGTGGTCCTGAATGTAATCACCACATTATAGAAAGGGTTGGGTACGTCGCGGGGTAATTTTGGCGAGCTAGCTCCCCTTCTGCTGCCTCGCGCGATGCCGAATCGTTTGCTGCTCGAGCGAGTGCTGCACCACTGCGAGAATCATCCTGGCCCTTGATGTAAACAGGAGTACGTGGCAGCGTCGTGAAACGGGCGTAGCAGAGCGTAGCAGCAGTGAAACGAAGCGTGCAATGCTGATGTATCGTCGCCTGGCAATAACATTACGGCTCAAGCGGTTGTTCTTTTGTAATAGGCCAATCCACCGCGTGCCTGATCGATACAAATCTCTTGAACTTCTGTACCGGAAGTTTGTGCAAGGATAGGTGTTTTGGCGAGCAAGCTCCCCTGTTGCTGCCTCGCGCGATGCCGAATCGTCTGCTGCTCGAGCGAATGCTGCACCACTGCGAGAATCATCCTGGACAATTATGTAAGCAGAAGCATCCGTCTCCTCCTCCTCCTCCACCTCCTTCTCTTCCTCCTCCTCCTCCTCCTCCACGTCGTCATCGTCATACGCATCATCAACCTTCTCCACCGTGATCATAATCATCATCATCATCATCATCATCATCATCATCATCATCATCATCATCATCATCATCATCATCATCATCATCATCATCATCATCATCAGCATCATCATCATAGTTGTTCTTGGCTCGAGCAGGAGTTGGGGCATCTTTCTCGCTCGGGTCTTGCGTCGGCAGGCTTGAGAACAACAGCGTCGGCGCGAGCCGTCACATGGCAGGCGGCGATGCGGGGAAGCATCCGGAGTGGACGTGCAAGGCCTGCGTCAAGCGGGGCGTCGAGGGCCCGCTGTGCAGCAACTGGGCCAACCGCACTTCCTGCCGCAAGTGCGGCGCGACGCGGGCCAAGGGAGGCAAGACCAAGCCCACCTTGGTGCTCTCCTACGGCGGCGGCGGAAGCGGGCCGCGGCAGAGACCCAGGGTGCCTCGGCAGCCGCAGCAGGAGCCGCAGCCTGCAGCCGCGCCGCCACGCCGTGCCCCGTGGGCGGGCCAAGGCCGCCGCGTCTCTTGGGCCGACATGAAGGTGGACGAGGGCGACGAGGACGGCGAGGCGGCCCCGGCGAGTGTGCAGGCCTCCTCGGGCCCCGTCCCCCTCACGGAGGAGCAGCTCGCCGTGGAGGTGGAGATCCTCGAGGCGGCCAAGGTCAAATACGGGCTCGTCGATCTGGAGGTCGAGCGCTGGGCCCCATCGTACCGCGGGCTGGCCGATCGGGTGCAGCTGGTGCAGCGCAGCCAGGAGCACTTGGCAGCCCAGAAGGCCGCGGAGCCGCCGCCTGAGCCCAGGCTGGCGAACGTGCTCCCGCGGCGCGACGCCGCCGTGCAGAAGAAGGAGCGCGCCCTGGCCCGCCTGGCCGCCAAGAAGGAGGCGCGTGCCAAGTACCAGGCGGAGGTGGACGCGGAGCTCGCGAAGTACCAGGCGGAGGTGGACGCGGAGCAGGTGGTGGTCGACAAGCACGAAGCGTCGATCCAAGCGCTCGCGCGCAAGGCGTCGGAGCTCGCCGCCAAGGAGGCCAGCCCGCCCCCGCCGCGCGCCGAGGCCGTCGTCAGCGAAAACGTGGGGCATCTCGTCGAGCTGCTCGGCCAGGCGCGCGGCAAGGTCGGCCTCGGTGCGCCCTCCGAGATGCAGGCCAACCTGGCGGCCCTTGCCAAGGGCGCCAAGGCCAAGGAGGAGCTGCTGCAGCAGCAGCAGCAGGCCGCCGAGCAGGCAGCCGCAGCGGAGCGTGCTGCCGCGGCCGCCGCGGCCGCTGCGACCGCTGCGGCCGCGGAGCAGGGCGACAAGGGCGGCGAGCACACGCCAGCTGGGCCCGCTGTTGACCTTGATCTGGATCCTGACGGCGATGAGGCTTCCTGGGACCTGTTCGGGCTCGGCGCCGGGTCGCGTGCGGACCCCGCCGAGCTTCGAGCCGCTCGCAAGCAAAAGCTCGCCCAGCTTGTTGAGGCAGGCTGGTGCAAGCGGCGCCGGACGACCGCTGGTGCCGTGGACGGCGCTGCCCCCTCCGACGCGGCCCACAGCGGGCAGCGGCGGTAGCAGCGCGGCAGCGCGGAAGAGGGGCAAGCGCAGCTCCGAGTTCGTGGTGGTCTCCGCCAATGGCTCGGGCTGGGGGCCCCTGACAGCGCTCTGGAGCGACGAGCGCACCATGCGCAGCCACAGGGCGGATTGCTGGTGCGTCCAGGAGACACAGCTCTTCGCCAAGAGGCTGGCAGCTGAGGAGCAGTGGTGCAGGCAGCGCGGCGCGGCAGCCGCGCTGACGGCGGGGGTGGCGCGAGCCTCCTCTCAGGACGTGGAGCAGCGCCGAGCCGCCTCGTCAGGCACAGGCGTGGTGGTGCGCTCCAACCGGGGCATGGCGGAGCCCGAGGGCGCGGGCTCCAGGCAAGTCGACGCGGAACGACGGTGCACGGCCGCCCTCGTCAGCGGCGCGCAGCGCGGCGGAGTGCTCATGGCCAGCGTGTACTTGGCCAACGACAGTCTGGGGGAGCGCTCCTGGGCCGTGCTGGCCCAGCTGGGGTCGGCAGTCCGCGCCGCGGGCAGACCCTTCGTCTTGGCGGGCGACTGGAACGTTGGGCCCAAGCAGCTCTGCGAGGAGGGATCGGCTTGGCTGCAGGGCATCGGCGGCACGGTGGTCAGTAATGACGGCGGGCAGCCGACGATGAGGAAGGGATTGGACGTCGAGTCGGAGCTGGACTTCTTCGTGGTGTCCAACGACCTCCTCCACAGGCTGCAGGGATGCAGCGTGGTTCCTGGGCCCTTCCGCCCGCGCTCGGCGGCGCGGCTACAGCTGCGCGCGCGTGGCGCGATGCCGCTGGAGCGCAGGCTGCGGGTCCCGCGGCCCTTCCCGACGCAGAGGGCTATCGGGCCGTTGCCGCCCCCGGTTGAGGTGCCGCCCGAGGTGCTGCAGGCCTGCGAGTCGGCCGACTCGCCAGAGGCCCTCGACGCCTCGTACTTGCAGGTGATGCGCCTCGTGGAGTCGGAGCTGCTGGTCGTCCACCAGATCGCGCCGGCGGACGAGGACAGCTTCAAGGGTCGCGGGCTGCCGCCCGCGTTCAAGTGGCAGCAGCCCGACTTGAGTGGGCGCGGCCATGGCTCCAGCGCGCCCCGCCCCAAGGAGGGCACGGCGGCCAAGCGCCTGCTGGCCGTCGCCGACCTGTTCGGCCGCAGGGCGCGGGGGCTACCGCGCAGCTTCCCAGCCTGGGCCGTGGGCGTGATGCCTGAGCCCTGGGGCGGGCGGGCCCGTCAGGCGGCCAGTAGCTCCCCCGAGCGCTTGCTGGCTTGGGAACAGGAGGCCAGGGCCGAAGCGGCCAAGGAGAGGTCGATCTTCGCGTGCGAGCGGAAGTGCGGCTTCAGCAAGTGGCTGCGCGACTCCTTGGCGCAGGGCGCGGGCCATGCCCGCGCCTTCAGACGCGGGCCGCGCGGCTGGGTGGCGGACGAGCTCGTGGGGCCCGACGCCGAGCCCGCATGCGGCCAGGAGCGGGTCGACAGCGCGGCCAAGTTTTGGGCCAACGAGGTCTGGACGCACCGCTCTAACTCCGCGGCCAGGGAAAGCCAGGAGGCGGAGCCTACCGGCGTGGTGGCAGCTCCTGGGGGAGAGGGGCCGTCGGCCACCGATCCTGCGCCCGGCCTCGAAGACGGTAAGCCCGCCCCTGGGAGCGACCCGCTGAAGGGTGGGGGAGGAGGCTCGGGGGCTTGCGCCACCGCCGAGACGGACAGAGGGTCCACCCCACCAGGCCCTGCGCCAGCATCGGCCGAGGAGGCCAGCAGCGCGCGCACTACCAGGGAGCTGTCGTCGGAACGCTGCTTGCCGCCGACCACTTCGACGGCACGGAGCACGCCGCCTCCCTTCCTGGGCTTGGCGCCCGCGCCGCAGAAGGCCCTCAGCGCGGAGGCTTTGCGGCGAGTGCGCAGCAGCGCGGGGGCGGCGTGGGCCGACTGCATCATCGACCTGGTCGGGCCGATAGCGGATAGCCCGCCAGATGAGGCTGGGCCCGTCGGCCCGCCCGCAGCCGCCGCCAGCCTCCGCGCGATGGCCGGGGCCGCCGGGCAGGCCGACGAGCGGCCCGCGGGCGCGGTCGGGGGCCCGCCCAGCGCTGGGTTGCCGGACCAGGCTTCCGGCAACCTCCCAGATCAGGCCGCCGGGCGAGCCGCTGGGGGCGCCAGCCACGCCGATGGGCACCCCGCAAGCGCGGCTGGGGGCGCGACCAGCGCTGGGTTGCCGGACCGCGCTTCCGGCAACCGCCCTGGCTTGGCCGCAGGACGCGACCCCGTTGCCGCCGGCCAAGCTGATGGGCGCCCCGCAGGCGCGGTCGGAGGCCCGCCCTGCGCTGGGTTGCCGGACCGCGCTTCTGGCAACCGCTCAGACGACGGACGACCCGCAGGCGCGGTCTGGGGCCCGCCCGCCCTGCGGGCCGCCCCAGTGCCCGCGGCGGCGCGCGCGGCAGGAGCGGCCGCCCCCCCGAGGCTCAGCCGCCCCGCCGAGGGCCGTCGCTTCGCCCCTGGGCCAGCCCTGGTGCGCCCCCCGCTCGGACCGCCCCTCGCCAGGCCGACGGTCGAGGACGGCGGGCGGGCGGCTCGTTCCTTCCGATGGCGACTCGGCCTCGGCGCAGACGAGTTCCATCCGAGGCAGCTGGTGCATGTTTCCGACCAGCTCATGGAGTGCCTCATCGCCCTCTGCATGGCGACGGAGGCCACAGGCACGCTGCCGGAGGCGGTGGTCGGCGGGCTGGTGGTCCTGCTGGCCAAGCAGGGCGGAGGCTGGCGCCCGATCGGCCTCCTCCAGCGGCTGCCTCGCTGGTGGGGCCGCGTCCGCCTTCGCGACGCCCGTGCCTGGGAGGAGGCCATCCACGCCGAGGCGGCGGCCAATTTCTGGGGAGGGAAAGGACGTGCCTCGGCGGAGGCCGTCTGGTGGCAGGCCCTGCACAACGAGGCCAGCCGCGCACAGGGCCTCTCGGTAGGCTGCGTGCTCCTAGACCTCTGGAAGGCTTACGAGGTGGTAAGCCTGGCGATGGCGCAGCGGAGGGGGCTCGACATGGGCTATCCCGAGCAGCTGGTGCAGGCCGCCATCTCCGTCTATTCGGGCGCGCGGCGCCTCGTCATTGACGGGGTCGTGAGCTCGGAGTGCTTCTACCTCTCGAGCGGCCTCATTGCGGGCTGCAGCCGCGCGGGGAGGCTCCTGAGGTGCGCCATGATGGTCCTGGATGCCGAACATCGCCGCCGCTGGAAGGAGGTATGTTGCGCCATCATGTTCGACGACTGCTCGCTGCGGATGGCGGGCGAGTTCTGGAAGGTGGCCCACTTCCTCGGCGGAGCGGCGGGCGACTTCATCCGCGGCCTGGAGGCGGACATGGGCTGCGTCGTCTCGCGATCGAAATCCGAGGTGCTCGCGACGACGGCCGCCCTCCGCGCTGCGCTGGTGGGCATCATCAACGAGGGCGAGCTGAAGCAGTCAGCGGAGGCGCGGAACCTCGGGATCGATTACGGCGCCGCCCCGGGCGCTTCGGCGGTCGCCGTCGGCCGCCTCGCGAAGGCGACGGAGCAGGTGGACCGCGTGCTGCAGGCGAGGCGAGGGCACATCCCCTGCGCCAAGCGGCTGGTCATCAGCGGCTCGCTGCCAGCCACGGATTACGGCTGCGGGGCCATGGCCTGGACTGAGCGGAGGCTGCAGGCGTGGCGCAGCAAGGTCGCCGCCATGCTGTTCGGCAGCGCTCCTGGGAGGTCGGTTGCGCTGAGCTTCCTGGTCTCGGAGTCGATCCGCCACGACCCCCTGTTCCAGCACGCCTCCCAACCGCTGGACGCGTGGGCGAAGGCTCTGCAATTGGCCGAGCGCCTGGAGGACCGCCGCGCCATCCTGAGCGCCTTCGTGGGCGCGCAGCGCTTGGCCCAGGAGGGGGGCCTGGCCAAGCTCCCCGGGTCGGGCCCCGCGGGCGCCCTGCTGCTTGCGCGCTCGCGGCTCGGCTGGCGCATGGCCTCAGTCCGGACGCTGCGGGGCGACCTCGGCCGCGAGGTGGATCTCATGGCCAGCAGCCGCCACACCCTGCAGGGCATCGTCGAGGCAGGCTTGCGCAGGCAGCTTTGGCGTGACGCGGCAGACCATCATGAGGAGTTGGAGGCTCTGCGGGGCGGCGGGGCCGTCGCCAGCATTCGTTGCGGCTTCCTGTCCAAGAAAGTGACGGCGAGGCTGGCGGCCTGCAGCTCCTCGGCACGCAACGCCTTGGTGGGCTGCCTGTGGCCGGTCGCGCGGAGAGCGCGGGCCACCCCTCCGCTCGCCTCCTCGGCCCGCTGCCCGTGGGGGTGTGACGAGGCGGGCACGGTCCGACACCTGGCTTGGCGCTGCCCAGCACTCGACGGGCCGCGGAGGCAGCAGAAGGCAGACGGGACCAGTTTCGAGCTGCTGCAAGAGGCGGAGAGGGCGGAGCCCGACACAGGCCAGGAGCACCACATCTGGTCACGCGGGCTGGTGCCCGACCCGCGAGCAGGGGCGCCGTTGCCTTTCGCTCGCACGCTGGAAAGGCGGTCGGGCACGCACCCAGGGTCCGTCTTCGAGCGTGAGGTCTTCCTCGACGGTTCCGCCTTCCGCTCCAGGGACAAGGTTTTGGCGCGCGCGGGCTGGGCGGCGGTCACGACGTGGGAGGCTGACGGCTCGGAGCGCAGTTCGGCGCGGGGCAACGTGGCCTGGCCGCTCCCCCAGGACAGCGGGGCTGGGGAGCTGCAGGCGGCAGTGGAGGCCCTGCGAGGCGGCATCGGGCCGCTCATCCTCTACACCGACTCGGCGATGGTGCACGACGGCTGGGCCTCCGGCAAGCGCTGGTGTCTGGAGTGGGGGCGGCCTTACCGCGAGCTGTGGGTGCAGTTCTGGCAGCTCGTCGAGGACTACGGCGTCACTATGGCGCACGCGACGGAGCAGCACGTCCGCGAGGGCCTCATCACGGACAGACAGCGCGCGGGCAACGCCAGGGCAGACAGCCGAGCCAAGGAGGGAGCCGCTCTCCACGGCGTCTCGCAGGCGCGGCTCGACATGGTGGACCTCGCGGAGAGCCTCGCCAAAGGTGTCTCCGACTGGCTGGGAGAGGCGATGCAGGAGGGCGACTCGCTGCTGCGGGCGGCCGACGGCTTCGAGGCGCCTGGCCTTGAGGCGATCAGGTGCGCATGGGCGGGTTGCCGACAGCGCCCAATGGCAGCCTGCGGGGTCGGCGGGCCCAACTGCGCATTCCGCGCCTGCGACCGCCATGGCACGGCGCTGCTGCTGGGCGAGACGGTTTGCTGGAGCTGCTGGGTCTGCGCCGCCGCTGGCACCCCCGTGCAGGGGGGCCGAGTGGCCGCCCGCAGTGGAGGCTCGGGCGACGGCGCGGGAGCGACGGGAGCAGCCGTCCTCGCTTTGGCGGCCGCCGCGCTGGCGGCACGCCCTCGCGAAGAGGCTGAGGGCGGCGGCGGGGGTGAGCCCGCCCGCGAGGAGGGGCCGCCGAGGCAGGGGGCGGGCGCTGCCAGCCCAGGAGGAACGCTGGCCGGAGGGTCCGCCGCAGCGGAGGTGCCAGCCGCCGCCGAGGCGCCTCCGCCGCCCCCTGCCCCGCCAGGGCCAGGACGGCGAGGCCGCGGTCGTGGCGGAGGCCGAGGCCGGGGCCAGGCGCGCGCCGCTGGAGTGGAGGCCCCCGTTGTCGGCCCAGCAGCCGTCGGGCAGCCAGCCTGGTGGAACGCGGCGCTCCACGACTCGCACATCCTGATGCAGGCGGGCCCGACGGTCTTCTGCAACGTGTGCGGCTGCAACGCTGGCTCGGCGCGCGTGATGGGGCTGGCCGAGCCCTGCCTGCGCCGAGCGTCGGAGCGCCAGCTGGAGGGGCTGCGCCGTCTCCGACGAGGGCTCCACCCAACGAGGAGCGCGGTGCTGGGGGAGCCCGCCCGCCTGGCGGGCCGAGGGCGGCCGCGGAGCCGCTCCCGAGAGCGGCGCGAGGCCGCGGCGTCCGGCGAGCGGGGCGAGGGCGCTGCTTCGGGCGCGAGGGGTAGGGGTGGGGCCTAAACCCGTGGTGCCTCCTGGGCGGGCAGCGGCCCTTTAGGCTTGCCTAAGGGGTGCCGTTGTCCCCGTGCGGCTCTTGGTTGCCCTGGTGCTCCCAGTTGTCGTGCGGGTCCAGGTTTCATCGCGGGCTTGGGTGCCTCCCCCTGCCCAGAGCGGGGGCTGTGCGACGCACGCCGTCCGCCGAGGGGGGATCATCATCATCATCATCATCATCATCATCATCATCATCATCATCATCATCATCATCATCATCATCATCATCATCATCATCATCATCATCATCATCATCATCATCATCATCATCATCATCATCATCATCATCATCATCATCATCATCATCATCATCATCTTCATCTTCATCATCATCATCATCATCATCATCATCATCGTCATCTTCATCATCATCATCATCATCATCATCATCACCATCGTCATCGTCATCGTCATCATCATCGTCATCATCATCAACATCATCATCAGCATCACCAACGCCATCAACACACTCGTCATCATATGCAGCATTTGCATTAGTATCATCAACATCATCATCATCACCATCACCATCATCAACAACGGCATCACCATGAATATCAGCATCACCATCACCGTTATCATCATCATCAACATCATCATTAATATCATCATCAATATCATCAGCATCAGCATCATCATCATCATCATCAGCAGTATCGCCGTCATCAGCATCGTCACCACCAGCAGCATCAGCAGCATCATCAGCATCAGCATCACCAGTATCAGCAGCAACATCATTGTCACCACCAGCAACATCAGCAGCAACCGCAGCCGCAACATAGCCACCGTCGCCACTGCCATTCACCATAGTCAACATCACATCACCATCGCCACCACCATCCCCATCCGTCTCATCTTTCTCCTCATCCTCCTCCTTCTCCTCATCCTACGTCCCTCTCCCTCTATTGCGCGGCCCAGGCAAGCCTCCTGCTCCACGGTCCTGGCGTCAAGCTGCTCCAGCCATTCGCGGAGAGGCAACACCTTGACCTGCTGGGGTAGCGCCAACGAGAAGCGACGGCAAGGCCAAAACACATGTGAGCTGAAATATGAGAGAGCCGGCGGGTCTGGAGGATGTATCGGGCGCCGCGGTCGTTCCATAGCGTGCTGGAACGTGTCCCAGCCTCTGCTGGCTGGCATTGGGAAGAGGGCCCGTGGAGAGGAAAACGGGTCCTGGAACCGAACGCTGCCCCCTGGACCAGCACGTGTCCCAGCCTCTGTTTGCTGGCATCGGGAAGAAAGGCCTTGGAGGGGAACACGGGTCCTGGAACCGAGCGCTGTCCCCTGGACCACCTCTCCGTGCTGAGCCGTTCTCAAACGACCCCCAGGCCTGGGAAATGGCCACGGGAGGTCGACATGGATCCCTGTTGTACAACATCAGTGTTCATGTTCGCGGGTCAAGAATCAACGCCCAAACTGCCCTAGGGCCCGTTTGAACTACAATGTTGATGCACATCCCACCGTGGCGACAGGAAGCCTCCCGCCAAGGTCCGAAACATGTGTTCAAACTGTCCACAAGGTCTCGTCCAAAAACTTAGATGCCTGATTGAGGTACTGGCCCAGCCGACCCCCCTGCTCCCAATGGCGACCCTGGCAAGTCAACCCACCTCCGTGGGTGAGTCTTGGCAACCGAATTCCGCAGGGAATTTGGCCTTGGCGACGAAGACGATTTAGGTCCCCTCGAAGAAAAACCAAACACTCCCAACAGCTAAATTACGAAAGATATCCGTTTCCAACCCACCAAATACAATACGAAACCGTGAATATGGGCCCCCCAGCGCCGCGGAGGGTCAGCCCATCGTTAAGGTTTTGCGGGGTCCCCAGGTGGAGGGCGACATTCCACTTCGGCATCGGCGACAGGCACGCAAACCTCCCAAAAAAGGCAAGGGGGAGGCGCGAGGGGAATCAAGCAAGGTGCGCTCGCACCACGTCTGAATTATAGCCCTGCCTCCTGTTGCGCTGATGTGTTCTCTATCCGCGGACGTGCCATAGCCGACCTGGATATCCAAAGCAAACCCCTGTATGGTCTCACGCGCTGTCGCGGAATTGGAAGCTGCGTACAGAGGAGGAGGGGGAGAAGGTCAGGTCAGGTCAGGTCAAGTCAAGTCATTCGCGTGAAAGGGGGCCAACGTCAACACCTACGAAGAACCTGTTCGCGCGACTAAAAAGAACACCTGCGATTGGATTACGCCGCAGCCCCAAACTTCCCATGGGGCAGGCAAAGGGGCATACCCCTAAGCTCAAAGAGGCGATCTCCGAGGTGACCCAACTCGCTGATCAAGACGGGTCCGTACGGGTCAGCGCGAGGGGAACAGCCGCTGGCCTTTTTCGCGTGCCTACTCTGGGGGGCGCGCTGGCGAACAGGGTTCCCGAGTAGGGGGGGGGGGGTCCCTGCGCCCCTCTTCAATATGTGAGCCAGAGCCCCTGCATTCCGAGATGCGCTCCATCCCCCCCGCCCCCCCCCCCCCCCCCACACCCCACCCCACCCCCGCCACCGCAGAAACGTCAGCGCTCCGAAATGTCCTCGCTCGCGCTTTCTACCCACTACGCCGAAACAGATGCCTCCCGCGCCAAACGCGCTCAGGTTCTCCTTCCCGCGTTAAACGCGCCGAAGAATTCTCGCGTTCCTCTTTCTCCGCCCTCTGCAGTGCCGCGCCCTTCCCAGGAAATCTGGGGGGCGCATGCGGCACGCGCAGAAGATTGACCGAGGACGAGAGACTGGGAGACCAGAGGCCAAACGCTCTCAGCTGATCCTCTGCGCTTTCCCATTGTAGAAAAACGTAATCTTCACGGGGTAACAGTTGTGCATGTGTCTCCCGCCCTGGCAATAGCGCCAATGCTTTCCCATCCCAGAAATGCGAATTCCACTTATTGGAAAAATGCGCGGCTGGAAACCAATTGGCGGCGTAATTCTTTCGCCGAGAAAAAACAATTGCCAATCCTGTTACAGATAATGTTACAGACGCTGCCCGCAATTCGCCCGTGGCGCTTCCGTGCCCTTTCTTCCACGACAAACCCTTCAACAACTGCGCCTACAATCACTGAAAGGTCAGAAAGAGCCCCTGTTCGGAAATGTTGCCAGTCCCGTTGCCTCAGTTTATAACTCCTTCCCCGCCTCCTCCGAGCCTGCGCAATCCCTCTGCGAAGCAACAGTTCTAGTACGTCAACGAATTATTCTGAGGACACCCCCCTTCCGCGCAGTGTTTGTAAGCCGCCCTTCGTGATTCCTTCGTTGGTCGCTGTAGAACTGAATAATCTCAGAAGCGCTGCAATTTCAGGGTCACCATTGAAGAGCATGGGTTTCCGAAGTTCGTCATCGGCACCAGTCGGTGGCTTCTGAACCTCGGGGCCTCCGGTTTCCCAGATCTCCTTCGCCCCGGCGGCGAACAAATGTTTCGACCTCCTGGGGCAACCTTTCCAAACATATCGGTTGGTCTCCATCTTTGCAGACCTTCGTCTCGTCCGTCTACCGCGGGAGTCCGCGGGCTTTCGAGGTCCATCATCGGCATGAACCAATAACCTCCGAACCTCGGGGCCTCCATCTTCCCTCTTTGACGCCTGCTCTCGTCTGCGCTGCGGAGGCCTATCACTGATGTCCTCCTTCAGAATGGTCACGGGATTCCGAGGGTCATCGCTGGCGAAAGCCAATGGCCTCCGAATCTCTGGGCCTCCACCTTCCCTCTGGATTTCGTCGATCAACTGATCTCGCCGACGGACGAATGAATGCAGAACTGGGCCAATAGGTTCCGTTGGCGCACTTGATTTTCTATCTCCAGAGTCACCTTTCCCAGAGAAGCCGTTCTCTGTTGATTGACTCTTCATTGCCAAACTCCTGGTGCAAATGCTTCCCCAGCCCTGAATCGCTTATGGGTTTTCGACGTTCTTCACTGGCACCTTCCGGCTGCCTCCGAGCCCCAGCAGGGCTTCCATCTTCCCCCTGGTAACTGCTGTCCAATGACGGCACTTGAACAAACAATTGTTCGCAAATAGCAACCCTGGCCAATCTGACATTTCCGAGCATGGGTACGGCGGATCCGCTCTTTGCGTTTTTGCCTTGTCGTTTTTCCAAGGTTACGTTCCAATCCTCCATCGACAGTTGGAAACAGTGCGACACAAGAGAATTCCGTCACCAAAATACGATCTCGTCACGCGAGAAGGGGTCGCAAAAAGTACGGTACGGGAGTGGCTGCAGGGATTGTTTCTTCTTTCCGTTCCCACTTCCCACTTACTCCCTTTCGCTTGCCCGACAGAGAATATATGGGGCGGGAGTCCTGTGATTGAGTTTCAGTGAAAGTCCTTACTCCGTCGGAGCTCAATGTGCCTGGGCCTCCAACGCCGACAAGGAGGAGAAGGAGGAGGAGGAGGATGTCGGTGAGCAGGAAAATGAGCAGGAGGAAAAGGAGGAGAGAGGAGGGAGGAGAGAGCAGGAAGGAACCCCGAGGCGGAGGAAACGCCCAACAGCCTCAATATTCGGTCCTCGACACCTTTCCTCCAGTATGGGCCGACCGCCCCAGCACTCTCACAATGGGGAACCCACAAAGGACGTACGCGGCCAATCATGTGCATGAACACGGCCCTCCAGTAAGCGAGACTGGCCTCGTTCGCATAACGAAAACTCTCGAGACCAGCGTGAATTCATGTACGTGTACGTCCTTCCGTCGCTCCTGATACAAGCCTACCGTGAAATCGTCAAAGGATAAAACTGCTTTAAGAAAGCAACATGTGTTCCTAGAACAGAACTGGCTCGTGAAAGCAAGACTGCCTCACCCAGACACGCAAGAAATCGTGGAAATCACACAAAGATCTTAGAACATTATTTGGTGGGCCAATGTGCGGGTCAGGACGCTTCGCCACCGCTTGACTTCCCTCTTGGCGACCTTGGCCCGGCCTCTGCCTGCCAGCCTGCCTGGCTCGCTGCCCGCCCGCCCCGCTGCCCTGCTGCCCTGCTGCCCGCCCTGCCCCAGCCACCCGGATGGCCGGCGGCCCGCCCTGCCCCGCCCGTGCCTCCGAATCACCACTCCCTCCCTCCCCCCCTCACCCTCGTCGCTTGCCTGCTTCTGCTTGTTCCTGCTCCTCCTCATCCCCTCATTTTGCCCCTCCTCCCTCCCTCGCCTCCCCCTCCCTCCTCCCCCTCTCCCCTCCCCCTAACCCCACCCTCGTCCGCCGGCAGCCCCCCCCTCCTCCCCTCTCACACCCTCACCCTCCCGCCCCTCTCCCTGAGATCCGATGCGCGAAGAAATGGCAACATGACCGCAAGGAAACTGAACCAGAGCCCTGAACCCAATCTCTCTGCACCATGTCGTCGGCCAGATCGATCGGCGAGGGCCCTGGGGCCCGAAGCAAGGCAGAGTCGAACGCGACGCCAGGATCCCGACCTTTTCACTGGCGCCGATTTCCCATCCTGGGTAGTTTTTGTTGACGAGGGCCCCCAGAGGCTGACAACAAAAACCTCCCCTATCGCCTCTCACCCCCCGCCCTATCACCCCCTGGAGGAAGAAAGATGGAGACCTTCTCGACGCCCAAGCTTAAGGCAGCGCCCACAAGTGAGTGGCGCGGCGGCCTTCAAAGAAGGGGGGCTTCCAAGAAGGCGGGCGGTTTAAGCCTCCTGAGAAGCCGCCAGGCCCTTTTAAGGAGGCCATCCTGTCCTTCACCCCGCCCTACCCTGAGATCCGACATTGCGAAAGAATGCAAGATCATAAAACGTCGCGACCTGGGACCTTAGGGAGCCCACAAAGGACGCACGCGCCCAGCTATGTACATAAACACGGCCCCTCGATCCGCGAGACCCGCCGCGTGATACGAACGTTCGCGCAGTTCGCACTCTCGAAACCAGCGTGGACCCATGCACGTGTGCGTCCTTCCTTCGCCGGCGAGACCTGGAACCCGTCCTCCTGCACCGTGCCTGGAGCCGGATCGATCTGCGACGGTCCAGGGGCCCACGGCCCCAGGGCGGACGACACGGCGACGCCTGGGGCTCCCGCACGCCCTCCCGCCCCTCCATCGCGTCGCCGCCGCGCGCCTCGGCCACGTCGTCGCCGCAGCCTTGCCGCAGGGCCTCGCGCGCCCGGCCAGGGGGGGGAGCGGGGGGAGGGGAAGGGGCTCGCTCGCTCGCCCTCGTCCAGTCAGTTCGACCTCATCTCAAGGCGCGTTCGTAAACCTGGGGGGGGGGAGAGAGAGAGAGAGAGAGAGAGAGAGAGAAAAAAAAAAAAAGAGAGAGAGAGAGAGAGAGAACGACGCGTTTCGGCATTACGCTTTCACCCTCTGCTTTGCAGCTCCGTTCGGAGCACCGCGCAGCCAAAATACGTGGCAGATGACCGTGCAGTTACGAGGTCGCTGTACGGGAGTCTGGCCGACAGCCCAACTGGGCCGCACCAGGGCGAACGGGCCAACCAAGCTACGAGTTAGCTTCACGAGCAGAAGGGGGGAAGGAGAGGAACAGGACGAGCCCTGAGATCCTGGCGTCGCATTATTTTCGCAGAGGGCGACTCTGCCTTGCTTCGGGCCCCAGGGCCCTCACCGATCGATCTGGCCGACGACATGGTGCAGAGAGATGGGGTTCAGGGCTCTTGTTCAGTTTCCTTGCGGTCATGTTGCCATTTTTTCGTGACTCAGAAGGGGAGGGGAGGGTAGGGGGGGAGGGGGGAGGGGAGAAGAGGGAGGGGAAGAAAGGAAGGCCCGGGGGGGGAGGTTTTGTTTTCCCCCACATGAAGCAGGCTGGTGGCCGATGCAGTGCGGAGGCCTTGCGGCGAGACCAGCCCAGTCCATCGGGCAGGGGGAGGGGGGAAGGGGAAGGGGGAGAAGAGGAAAATGACAGGGGATGGGCGGAGACGGGGGGGAGAAGGAGAGTGGAAGGGAAAAGGGAGAGGGGTACGGAGGAAGACTCGGGGGGAGGATGGGGGCAGGAGCGCTTTCCCGTTGAGAACGCAGCGGTGGCGCCGTGGTGCCGAGCTTTCGGACTACAGATGATGCTGCGTGAGCATGATGCGAGAAAGAAAGGGAAAACATCAACAACGGAAGCAGACCGGGAAAGGGCGCGAGAGACAAGAGACAAGGACGAGGGGGGGAGTGGAAAAGGGGGAGGGGAAGGGAGGGAGACTCGGGGGGAGGACGCGGTAAGGGGAGGGGGGAAGCAGAGAAGGGGTGCAGACAGGGATGGGGGCGGGGGCCGGAGAAGGAAGATGCGGAGGGGAAGGGGAGCAAAAGCACGAGGGGCGAAGAATGGACGGGCGGCTGGATTGTGTCTGTGGCCAACGGAGGGTTCCTGTGCAGCACGTTGACTTCTGTGTGGCCTGGTGCGCGCATGGATGGGTTCCTCTGCGGCCCGCGCTGGCCCTGGACTGGGAACTTACGCGCAACGACCTCACTCGTGTCCTCCAGAACTCGTCGCCGCTCCTAAGGGCCTGCATCCCTGCCAACAACCTGCGGCCACGGGCACTAGCAAAACATGGAACCGGGAGGGAGTTCGTGGAATCGCAATACGTGGGGCAAACCATGCAGTGTCCCACAAACCACCGGGCGTAGGTGGCTCATCGAATCATATCCGTGATTGCAACCCCTTCCCCTTCATGAAGGGGCTATCCCGTCCTCCGCAACCCATAGAAGCGTCCCAAGATGGCCCACGGTGGCCTCCAATGTGGCGCAAGTAAAACTCAAGATTGCTTCGAACATGCATGCAAGAGGTCCCAAGACCGCCACAAGACATCTCCAAGGGGGCACGGAGCCTCCCAACAGTGGCATTTACCTTCTCGCCCTTTCGCTTCAGATATTGTCTGCTTCTGAGGCCTCGAGATGCCTCCGAGATCGACCAACAGAGTCACTGGAGGGGCTGGCAAAGGCTCTATCTAACACTGCCCCGAGAAGACCCAACAGCGTCCCAGCTGCGCCGCAAATGGGACCCAAGCGACGATGTTGTCTGTCTCCGAGGGCTGGAGTCTAGTGGACGCCGCCCTTATGACCAAAGTCATTAATCTGCGTCGTCTGCGTCGCCGCCATTGTCCCCCCTCCCCCCTCCTTGTCATCATCGTCCTCGTCGTCCTCTCCGTCTTTCGTGCCGTGGCTCTGGCGACGAACACCATGAACGGCCGCCAACAGACAGGTGGAGCCTTCCTGGGACAATCTTCCCCCCCTCCTGAATGCGAGCAAGGGGAACTCAGCTGCTTCTTTTCTGTCACAGCAGCGCACGTCTCGCCATGGCCAAATGCCCTTCAGGTCCCTGGCCTCCTGCGTGCACATGCCTCCGCCAATGCGGCGACCGGCCTCGGGCATTTCAGCACGCGGGCCTTCTTGCGCGGCGCGAGGCCCGTGCCTATCCTCACCAGGCACGCGCTGTAAAACCACGCTGCGCGTCGAGGAAGCCGCGTGAGAAACAAGTGGCCTGCCCTGAAAGCGTCGCCCATCATCTTCGTCACTGCATGCGTCAGTGCCCGCGTTTGCCTCCGAATCCCATGCACGGCCTTCTTCGCTCGTCCGCTGGCTTGCCCGTTAACCGCTCGGCCTGCCCAAAGAGCATCGCGCGGCAAATTCCGCCCCTGATCGCTTTGGCCCTCGCCGTCGCCATGAATCATAACTCCGCTTCTCCACCAGACTGCAACTCCACTCATAAGCGACCCAGCCCGGCTTACCACGAGAACGGCGATACGACAACGCAAATTGGCGTCGGGAGGAGAAGGAGCGCGCAGGGAGCGGGTGAAGTACGCTCAGAACGTGAAGTCCTTGTACGTGAGTGCCGAAAGGCATGCACTGCGCGGACGTGAAAGACCGTGTAGGAGCGGAACTCGAAAGGAGGGGAGCTCGGCTGCAGACAAGAACGACTTTCGGCAAGAGCAATCTGTGGGGCGCCGCTTCAGTGGAGGAGCAGAGCGCTGCACTAAAACATACATGCTCGGGGGTCCGCGTGGACGTACTGGATCTGTGCTGGACCCTCCTTTCTGGCGCGCGGAGCGCGGTAGGAGCGGCGACGGAGGCGCCGACAGGGGGGGTCCAACGCCGATCGAAGAAACCCGCGAGGACAACAACGTTTATGTGTCTGCTGTATTTCCTGAGTGGGCTCGGGCCCGCATCTAAAGATCACTCTGGCGAAAGGTCACTGCTACGCGCAACTGGCCGAAGAACGCGGCGGGGTGGCGGCAAGCGCCTCCCGGCCGCCCCGGGGCGCCGCGTCCCTGGCCAGCGCGGCGGCGAGCTCCAGCGCGGGCCGCCGAAGCCTCGTTGGCGCCCGCGGCTGCCGCCGTCGGGCGCCCGCCGCCGTGGCCAACGGCCCGCGTCGCTGCCGTCGCCGTCGCCGCCGCCGCCGCGGCCGTCGTCGCCAACGCCGCCGCCGCGGCAGTCGTCGTCGCTGCCGCGACCGTCGTCGCCGCCATCAGCGGCGGCGGCCGCCGCCGTCGGGCACCCCGCCTCTCTGAGCGCTGGTCCAGGGACGCACCCTGGGTCGCCGCGATGACCCGCGCGCGCGCGCCCGCGTCCAGGCAGTCGCAGAGCGCGATGCGCTCCTCAGGGACGACGGCGACGGCGACGGCGACCGATCGACCGGTCGACCGACCAGAGCGCGCTACGCTCCTCGGGGATGCTCGGCCGCAAGACGAGGCACCGTCCGAACGCCGTGCCGTGCCGTGCCTGACTTTCAACATGCGAAGACTCTATCGCGCCGTGCCAGCGTTGGTACTCAGGGCCGCTGTGCCGGTGTGGCAGGAGGAACGGGGAGGAGGAGGAGGAGGAGAAGAAGAACAAAGGAGAAGAAGAGAAAGAAGGAGGAGGAAGCTTGCAGCTCACGTCGGTTTAGCGCTGCAAAAAAAGAACGAGGAAGAGGAGGAGGAGGAGGAGGAGGAAGAGGAGGAGGAGGAGGAGGAGGAGGAGGAAAAGGACAGGGAGGACAAGGAGGAGGGGGAGAAAAGGCACGGCACGGCAGCATGGGGTCCGCAAGTCGAACCCGCTGAGCTCCTGACAAGCCCGCCGCGCTGGGGCGGCGGCCGAACGCGCCGCTCGTCGAAACCCGACGCCCACTCAGGCAAGAAACGCCCGCTGCCCACTGACGACGGTCGGGCGCGCGCCGTAAGTAGAGCGGAAAAAACGAACCGTCCGCGCCTTCGGCAGAAGGGCTGGCCGCAACCGCCCGCCCGAGAGGGAAGGCGGCGCCCTGCTGGGAATTCGGAAGCACGGTCAGGAAAAGACAGGCGAGGACAGCAAGGCCAAGAAGGCATGTTCTGGCAGAGCGCTTACATGCGAGGTCAAGAAGAGAAGGAACGAGGAGGAGACGAGCAGGTGTCCAGGCCTCCACGTGGCCGCTCGTCGGCAAACTCATCCTCCACATCCCTCTCTTTACGTGTTCTCTGTCTTGTGCTCTTGAATTGTTGTTGGGGGGTGCGGGCCATGGCTGGGGCTAACCCCAGCCCCATGAGGGGCGCCCCCTCTTGTGTCCCGGGAGGGGTATGGTCGTTGGCTGCCGTCGTTGGGTTCTCTTGGGCGTGCTCGGGCCGGCCATCCCCTGTGCCGTCTGGTTTGCGGGGGGGCGGGAGTACACACCCCTCCCAGGATCAACACGCCGCGGAGGCGGTTGGAGCTTCGGCTCTTTCCTTCGTGGGGGCTTCGGTTTCGGCTGGGGCGTCAGTGTCAGTCGCGGATCCTGGGGGGCAGACCGACTACTCGCTTGGTCAACGCGAGTCGGTTTCTGAGTCTTCGGGTGCGGGTGCTAAGGCGAGAGCTTCATCAGATGACCCCCAGATACCTTCAGGTACAACCAGGGGCCAATTTCGTGCCATCCGGCGTAGAGCTCACCAGCGGATCAAAAGAAAACGTTCTCATAAGGTGAAACAGCGCCGGGACATGCACAAGTTAGCCGTGCTTCGGCGGGAGGGACGTCGTCGGGAGACGCATCACGCCTGGTGCTTCTGTGGTGGGACATGGAACACACGTAAGGTGGGTACGGAACAGGGTAACGAGAGCCCTGCTATCAAGATCGGGGTGATGTTGCCTTTGTTGCGTGTTCGGAAGTGGGATGTTGCATTGTTCTCTGATGTGAAGTATACACATAATGGGGTGAGGATGAGGAGGGGGGGAAGGTTTGGACTTCTATTATTAGGGGGAGGGTTTCTGTGGTCTTGGGCCACAAGTTGGCGGAAGCCTGGAGGAAGTCTGGGTCCAAGGTGGTTGTTCGAGGTAGGGAGGATAGGACGGGGATTCGTGTTATGGGGGGGGTCATACCCCGAGAGGGTCGCAACAGAAGTCTCTCTCTGATTGCCTGCTATGCCCCGGCGTCGGGGGCGCATCCCGCTGCCGTGGCCGCCAAGGACAGATTCCATGAAGAGTTGCGTCACGTTGAGTCCCGTGTCCGCGGCGCACACCAGTTGGTGTTAGTTGGCGGCGACTTCAATGCAGAGGTCGGCCGGCCCCAGGAGGAAGAGGAGCGAGAGGTTTTGGGTATACATGCTTCGCCCCGTCGTACGGACACCGGGCGAAAACTCATCGCGGTGTGCCGGTCAGTCCCACTGTGTGTCCTCAGTACTATGTATAAACAAAAACAACCAGCGACGTGGTGGCACCTACGCTACCGCTCCGGAAGGGCTCGCTGACAACGACTGGGCCTAGCGAAAACGATGGGAAACGGTGGGGAAGGCAGGGCTGCGCGAAAAGGACATGCAGGGCTGGGGAGAATGGCGGGGCTGGGGGAAACGGGCGGCCGAGACAGCCATCCCGGCGGAACCGCCGGGACGGCCGCGTTGGCCAAGGCTGAGTGCCTCGGCACTTCTGTCTCCGAGAATGCGCGCGCGTGAGAGAGAGAGAGAGAGAGAACATAACAAAATGAAGAAAGAAAGAGAGAGAGAGAGAGAGAGAGAGAGAAAAAAAAAGAGAGAGAGAGAGAGAGAGAGAAAGAAAGATAACAAAAAACAGAGGGTTAAGTGAGATACGCGTGCACTCAACGGAGGAGGAGGAGGAGAGGAGGGGACGAGAGAGGGACAGGACAGGGCGAAGGTATTTTCATGGCAGCGTGGCGACGCGCATCTCCGCCGAGCGTGGGCCCTGATGGCCCCACGCTCAACGCGAGCGCGTGGGCCCTGACGGCCCGCGCGCTCGCGCTCTGGCACGCCTGCGGCCGCTCGGCCGACGCAGGCGTCTGGGAGCAAAGCGGGGTGGGTGGGCACCCGCGCGTCGGCCAGAGCCGAACGCTACGGACCCAAAATGGCTACCTGAGCCCACACCCCCTCCCACTTAACCTGCAGTCTACAACCAATCAGACTATACAAGTTAAGTGAGATACGCGTGCACTCAACGGAGGAGGAGGAGGAGAGGAGGGGACGAGAGAGGGACCAGGACAGGGCGAAGGTATTTTCATGGCAGCGTGGCGACGCGCATCTCCGCCGAGCGTGGGCCCTGATGGCCCCACGCTCAACGCGAGCGCGTGGGCCCTGACGGCCCGCGCGCTCGCGCTCTGGCACGCCTGCGGCCGCTCGGCCATGAGAAAAGAAAGACGCAGCCGCGCGCGCGGGGACGCCCCGCCCGAGTGCGAGGGCGGAACCAGAGGCTGCAGGAGCCTCGCGCGCGCGGCCACTTGCCTGCAACCTTGAGGCCTTCCGCGCCCGCGCACCCAGAGCGCGGGCGCGGCGCGTGCGCGATGCGCGCAAAAGAACCGAAAGGGGGCGGCGCACGAGGCGCCGGGCGCAGAGCGCAAGTGTGGCCCCGACCGCGCGGCGCGCAAGACGCGCAGCACGGCCGGGTCCAGGAAGCACGCGACGTGCGCGCACGTTAAACTCCTCCCAAGTGAGAGGATCGCAGGCGCCACCTGCGTACCGTAGGCTAAAAGAAAGAAGATCACAGGCGCCACCTGCGTACCGTAGGCTAAAAGAAACAAGATCGCAGGCGCCACCTGCGCACCGTAGGCTCAAGGATCGCAGGCGCCACCTGCGCACGGTAGGCTGAGAGCAGGGCTGGCTCACTCACAGGCCGCCGCCTTCAGCCCGCGCCCGCGATGCCGCGGGCGCTGGCGTCGGGGCACGGGGGGGAACTCCACGCCTAGATGGAGGGCGTGTTCCCCCGGCGGTCGCGGCTCTCGTCGCCGCTGCGGTCTCCGCCGCGCTCACTGGGGTCCCGGGGGCTGCCGCCATCGCCGCCCCTCGACGCGCGACCGTCCGCGCTGGGCCAGTCACGCTCACTCCGGCCGCGGCTGCCCTGGTCGCCCATGGAGTGGCCGCCCTTGCCGCTCTTGTCGCCCTTGCCGCCGCTCTTGGAGCCCTTGGCGGCCTTGCCGGAGTACTTGCCCTTGACCTTGCCGCCCTTGCCGCCCTTGTCGCCCGCGCCCTTGCCACGCCAGGCTGGGATCCCACCCCCGCCCGCGGCAGCCTCCGCGGCGGCAGCCCGCCGCCGCTTTTTCTCCTGCTCGTGCCAGCCGCCGCGAGGAGCGCGAAGCTGCCCAGCGTGCTTCCCGGTCTTACGCCGCGTGCGGCCGGGCGGGGTGTCGCCGCGCCTCGCCCACGCTGGGTCCCGCGCCAGACTGTGGCTGGGCGACCTCTCGCGCTTGGGCCGGTGGCGGCTGGGCGACCTCTCACGCTTGGGCCAGCTGAGGTCGCCCGGCGGGCGGTCCCCCTCAGCCTCCGCACCCGTGGCACCCGTGCTGGGGCGCTCGCCATGGCCGGCACTGGGGCCCGGCGCCTCCCGCGCGGTGTGGCCGCTCCGCCGGGCCTTCTCCACCGCCGTCTTGGGTTTGCCGAAGGCGACGCGGCAAGCCTCGCAGTAGCTCACGTCGCACCCCTTACAGTGCCACCGCAGGGCTCCGCTGTTAGCTCCGCCCGCGGGGCACATCTCGCAACCCCAACCGTCTCCCGGGTCAAAGGAGCTCCAGCGCATCTTGAGTGCGCACGTCGGGCAGGCAGGCGGCTGGATGGTCGGGCCATCCTCCCCGTCGCTGCCTGGGTCAGGGCCGCGAGGCCGGCTCGCCCACTCCGTGACCACCGTGCACGGGTCCGTCTTGTAGAACCGATAGTTCGACCTCATGCACTCCCGCGCGCGCTTTGCGTCAGCGCGGCGCTGGAACTCCACCAGCACGCACGGCTCCCGCTTGTGGCGGTGGTCGTACAGGAAGGCGATGTGTTTGACGACCCCAAAGGGCACGACCACCTGCCTGACCACCTCGGCATCGACGTGGTGCGGTACCCGCTCGATGCGGATGATGGACTCGCCCTCGTCGTGCTGGTCACTGGGCTGCTGCTGGGCGCCCTGGCGCTGCTCCTCCTTGCGCCTACGGCGGCTCCTCGAGCGCGGCTGGCGCTGGGGCGGACCGTCCCCCGCGCCTGGCGCCTCCTCCACCTCGGTCTTCACCTCGAAGGACCGCGGCGGCGCCCCCCCGCTCTTGGGCTTCAGGACGGCCTCACGCTTCACGATGTCGGCCTTCGGGGGGGCGCCGCCCGTCTTGGGTTTCAAGACGGCCTCCTCCTCCTGTCCCCTGCGCCCGCGATCGCGAGGCGCATCGCGCTCGCGATCGCGGCGCCTCGCGCGCGAGGGC